CTGGGGAATTCTGGGAGTTGGTCCACACATCTTAAAGTTGCCATGGTTGAAAAACACTGGTCTCAAGGGATGTTCTTTCCTGTTGCTTTACGTTGTTTGTCATCTCGGACACTTTCTCCAGGAGTCACCACACCTTCCTCAATTCGAACTCGGCAGAAGCTGTAGCCATGGGCTTACTGAAGCAGTTTGAAGGGATGCAACTGCCTGCAGCCTCGGAACTGGAGTGGCTCGTGCCCGAGCACGATGCCCCGCAGAAGGTAGGTTCTTACCAAATCCCCTTCTCTGAGCTGAAAGTCAGCTATCATGCCCCTCTGTAATTTACCTTAGTCTGGTTCCTACTGGATATCTTGAAATGCAATTCTCCTTAGTGAGTTTGGAAATTGTAGTTGGTTGATTCAGCCTTTTGAGGTAGGTCAGGTTAAGTAGAGATTCCAGGAATGCTACTTTACTGTTGTAGGCTATACAGGTAGTTCTTGGGTTACAATGGCAATTGGGACTGGAATTTCCATCACTAAGCAATGCAGTTGTAAAGTGCGATGTCACGTGACCACGTTGCTTAGCAACAGCAATCCAGGCTGTCCCGGTTGTCATCGTAACCCAAGGACCCCATGGGTTGTCAAGCGAGGATCTCACACCATCATGACTTCCAACTTCCTGCCGGCTCCCCCACTGACTTTGCTTGTGGGAAGCTGGCAGGGAATGTCGGAAATTGCGATCCTGTGACTGCAGGGATGCTGCAACAGCTGGAACTCCAAGGACCAGTCATAAGTACCACTCATTCAGCACTGTTATAACTTTGAATGGTTGCTGAACTAACAGTAGTAACCTGAAGACTACCTGTACTAATAGAGTCAGGAAAGCCTGTCCAAGTTACTCTCTGTCCCATCTTATGCTAAACCAAACTCAAGTTCTGAGTTTCTTTCTCAGGTTTCCTTCTATCTGGGTAAGCTCTTCTCCAAGTCCCCCCTTAACGGCTCTCCCCCACCCTCCCCAAGGTCAGCTCTACATGCCTTTAACCCCCCGAACAGGGCATCTTCTTTGCCTGGCTAGAAAGTCCTGGAGTGGCCGAAGAACACAGTCAGGCTTCCCTTGCCATTAGCCTCATGCCTGAGACCGTTCTGCCGGACTGAGCCTTTCCAAAATGGCTGACTGCTTCGTTGTCAGATCGCTTCTGTTACTTCCCTCCTCTTAGCACGGAAAGGAGGCATGAGTTGAAATGCTGGGGCCCTTTTTCTAATGGGGAGATTGTGTCACAGCCCACTGCTCTTCTCTTTTACGTGGCTTACAGTCTGTGCAGTTGAGGCCTGGTGTTTCAAGAGCCAGCTGCGTCCCCTTGATAAGAAGGAGGTCACTCCCTCAATGGTCAGCTGCTGGTCAGCTGCTTCTTCCCAGCAGCAGTCTTTCCATAGCAGCTTTTCTTCCCCGCGAGCTTTGGAAGATTTGGGGGGGAATTAACATGATAGAATATTTTGTGTTGGTTTTCAGGGTCCAATAAAGTTTCTTAAAAAGCTTTTTAAGCGCCCCAAGTGGTATAAGAAAAGACGGCTTTCCCTCAAGCTCCTGCTGGTATGTTCCAAGGCGGGGAGGGCGTTTGCCCGGGCATTGTGCTGACCGTGTGCTCTAACAGCTTTTCTGAAGTGTGCATAAGAAATGCGCTGGGCGTGCTGGCGTGGTTTGATGTGGAGTGTCGAGCCAGCTCTGTTGCAGCAGAGGAGAGTAGCAGGCATGTCACCAGGGCTGTTTGCAGGGGGAACCAGCAGCTGAATCAGAGTTTTGCAAATATGTGTGCTCAGATTGCATCCCTGAGCCGGAACTTCTCATGTAAGAATTCAGATACCATTTGAAAACTTTTTGGTGTGTGATGGACCAGCCACAGGAGCAAAGGTCTAGTTGACGTATCTGCACCCATGCAGAATAGACAGTGTTCACCCCTCATGCTCCCGAGACAAAACCCTAGCAGAGGCATTCACACTTCATGCTAAACTTCGCTAGTTTTAACTTTGTGTGTGTGTGTGTGTGTGTGTGTGTAGAGCTTAGTTTGTTATGTAAATCCAGGCCGCTTGATAAGTTGGAGGTTCGTTCTTTGGTGTGAATCCAGAACATGAGTGGATTCAGTAACCAGGTTAAGTGTGTTGTGTGAACGTGGCAGGCTTTGTTTAATGTTGAAGTTGCGAGGGGTAGAGGCCTTCTAGGAGTGCTACAGTCATGAGAAGCCCCTAGAAGTGGGAGAGGGGGCTTTTAGAAAAGAAAACAGCCCTGTTTACATACCTTGACGGGTTGCACAAGCTGAGCCAAAACAACTAACAGTGCTAGTGTGGAATCTGAACAGGGTGGTCTTAGGACAGGGCTAGGGTCCTCTCTGCTTTGCTGTAGCTGTTTTAAGTTGAGCTCTTTCTGATTCAATCCTGCATCAGCTTTGCAAATGCGTCTTAGCTGCGACTGGTAGTTCTGCGTGTCAGCTTTTTCCCATGATGCTCCTTTTCTCCGTTTTGGGATATTATCCTTCCTCTACCTTTTAGAAACTCAGAGTTAAAGAATTCACAGAAATCCTATTCCTAAGGGAGCTCTTATTACTAGGACTTTAAGTAATTCCAGAAGGAAACTCATCAAAAACATTCCAGGCACTTCCTGTTATTTTTCAGTTTATGCCATTCTAAAAATCTCCCCCACATGTAAATACGTTTTTAAAAAGAATTTACCTAGCCTTATGTGAATGTTCCAAAAATAAATAAGAAATTATGTGAGTGTGATATTAGTCTATCGTAAGAATGAATAAGTCCATGCTGATGATTTCCTATTGGACATAGAATAACGGCTGGGCTCTTTTCCCATGAACAGCAGAAACTTTGAGTCGGGTTATTGTCATGTTCATTACGCTTGCGTCTCATCAGAAGGCTTCGTTAAGATTCTGGCAAGGAGAAAAGTGTGCCTTTTGAGTTGGGGAAGGATGAGTCCACTCTGAGCCATTGTGGCTGCAAAGCAGTATTCTCTAACCTTGAAAAATGTTGGATTGGATTCCCAGTTAGACCACACTGACTAGAGTCCTCTGGAGTTGGGCAGCCAGTGAATTTAAATAAATAAATTAATTAAACAAATGCTGGCCTGGGAAATGCAATGCAATGCATCTGAAGGGCAGAAGGTTAGAGAAGGCCACAACAAAACAGAACCAGGTGGTGGTTCTCTTTGCATTGTACTTGCTTTCTTTTTACAGCTGTTGCCAATTCCTGATTCTGTGCCCATCTCGCCGGATGATGGAGAACATGCAGATATTTACAAGCTTCGCATCCGGGTGCGGGGGAACCTGGAGTGGGCCCCTCCACGCCCACAGATCATCTTCAATATCCACCCAGCACCAACGTAAGGAGGACTGTTTGTGGTCTGTGATGTGGTGGTGGTGGGGGGGGCGTGTCATTTGTGTCTTGACCAGGTTCTGTGCAAAGCAGCAGAAAGTATGAAACAAATTCTAGGGAGCACAGTGGAGAATGGAAGCAATTTAAGCTATCTTATCCAGAGTCGGCCCAGTCCTTCAGTTATTTCCAGTGAAGACTGGAATAGCTTTAAAATAGTGAATCTTAACATTTCGCTTTATGTAGGCTATCATCAAAAGCTTTTAAAGACTGCCCCACAAGGCAGAGATCAGCAATTTGCCATTTGTGTGCACTGTGGCATGTCTTCACCTCTCTAGATGAACCCCAACACTAAATAAAAATAGCAAATGTCCCAGATCCCCCAAATCTTATGAAATCTTGCGAGATTTTGAGTGAGAAAGCTGAAATCTTAACTTGGTTTGATATTCTCCCAAGTAAGAGTGAAAAAGAGGGGGACGCCCACACAAGGACAACCTGTGGTACTGTGGTGGACCACCAGTAGTCACTGAACCACAGTTTGAGAATATTGATTGAAATGGTTTTAGGCTGGTGTTCCATAGGAGCATGCAAAATGTTTCACATTCGATACATCCAGTTTTGGGTGCAAAGTAGCCTGTTTCAAATGGACTTGTTTTGAGCTGTTTTGCCAGTGTGTTGAGGCCAAAACAACTCAAAACTATGCTTTGGACTCAAAATGTTTCTGAAATGTACAACAAAGCCTATTTCACACTCAGAAAAGGGCATTTCAAACTAAAAAATGAGGTGTTTCAGATCTCAGATAGCTTGAATTCAAAAAGTTTAGCACATCTCTAGTCTTCCAGATTCCACTTGGTGATAGAGGGACTGGTTGTTGGACTGAATGAAAACTAACTTATTGATCCATTGAGTTCCCCTGAGGCGGATGACTGGTAGGACTCTTACGAAGGGAATTATGCATTTCCAGATCATCCCAGGGGCCAAATTGGGGACATCTGGGGAATTTGTTTTCCACGCACCTCATTTCTGAGGCGTTGCCCTCAAACATTCCTTCATCAAGCTAACAACATCCACTGGTGAAAAACTCCACCTCTTGAGAGCTGAGAAGTGAGTTGGAGAAAAGGGCTTTTTTTTTTCTTTAGTATCCTGAATTTCTGTTTTGTAGGAGGAAGGCAGCAGTAGCCAAGCAGAACTACCGCTGTGCTGGCTGTGGGATCAGGACAGATTTTGGTGAGTTCTTGACTTGGGAGAGTTCTGAAGGCCCAACTTTTGCCTAGACCTTCAGGGTAGTTGTTTTAATTCCAACTTTCCTTGGAGCCCTCAGAGGAGCTGGACTACAACCTCTGCCTTCCCATTCCAATCACATGCCTTCCAAATTAGCTATGGGGTATCTAGGAAAATGTTCCCCTTAATCCTGATTTAAGTGCAATAAACCAACAGCTGAAAAGTGCTTTGAAGATTTACTGATCTACAATCACAGGGTGTCCTCTTAGAGAAGACAAAAGTTAACAAGCAACCAGTTATCAGGTTGGTTGCAGTCATCCCATGACATCAACTTCATCCGTACCTTATTAGGCACAAACAAGGGCTGATTTAGGAAAAGAACATACTGTCCCTTGAGCACACATAGTTATTTCTAACTTGCTTTTTTCTCTGGGAACTATACAGAGGCAAAATTTGACAAAGCTTGTTTCTTCTAGCCTTATTGCTTATTCCGTTCCCTTCTGGGAAATTCAATTTGTGCACCTTATCTGCTACTGGATGGCTTCTATCTTAATCTGTTGGGTGCAACCTAAATATGGCTTTCGTTATGCCTGCCAATGTTTTCCAATTCTGGGTGTGTGCATATGTTGGGGAAGCCTATCTTCACTCCTTTCCATGTGTATGGAAAGAAAGAGAGTGGGCCCCATTCTTCATTCTAGTTTTTGTGAATCTTCCATATGGGTGCCAGCACAGTATTCTTCTCAGATGTTCTATGGATAAGAGAAGCGCTCTAAGGACCCAATCCCTAGGCAACATGTCCAGGGGTGGCTTTCACCATTTCTCTCAGCTCCTTTGATCACTATAGCAGTCCATGGAAATGAAAGGCACTAGGCCTATCTGAATAGGGCAAGTGTTGTAAATTAACAGATGGCTCTTCAAAGAACCAAAGATCAAATTACAGATAAGTAACTTTTGAGGCATATGTGCTTCACATATGTGGGTTAATAGTCTGTATCACCTTAGAAGGGGATACTAATGGTTTCAGAACCAAGGTGGCTAACAGTGGTGGTTAGTACAGCATCCTGTTTGGACCGAATATTCAATTTGTCATGTTTTATGAAGGTGGACAGTTGGACTCAGATTGTCCCTCTGCATAATCCTTATAATGCACTGCGCCTGAGGCCAGAGGTTGAGATGGAGATAGCTTGTGGATGTCTCTAAATGCTTTCCAATGTAGAATTTTGCTATGTTAAAGCAGAGGGTGGAGCTAATAACCACCCATCTGGAGAAACATTGAGCTGAAAGTGGAAGGTCTTTTGCTCCTTCTTAACATATAAGCAAGTAAAGGTCCCTGTGAAAAAGATCCTGTTCAGTGAAGGTAGAAAGCAAGCAACTTCACACTTGGGATCAGGAATATTTGCTCTAGAATTAGGGAGTGTTCATGCCAAAGGCTTCCCAGATTCAGGGAGAACTTTATTGTAAGGTGGTTTCCCAACCTTGTGATTTCCAGATGTTTAGACTTCAGCTCTGAAAATCAAGAAAAATAAAACAAAACCTGTCTCATTGAAGAACTGGAGGAGATAGAAACAATGGAGGCAAATGAAGGAGTCCCACCTAGACAGACAGATCCCTTAGTGCCAGCCCTTTTTCCAGAAGACTCCCTTAGTTCTAGAATGTTCTGAGGTTGGTAATGAGCCCCAATGCTCATGGACAGGCAGAGCCAAAATGCACCATCTGCATATCTCTTCTCTCTTAAACCTCTTCCTTTTCCTCTCTTTCTTCACCTGGGCCATCAGATTACATCAAGCGCATGCGCTACTGTGAATACCTGGGCAAATACTTCTGCCAGTGCTGTCACGAGAATGCTCAGATGGTCATTCCAAGCCGCATCCTTCGCAAGTGGGACTTCAGCAAATACTATGTCAGCAATTTCTCCAAGGACTTGCTGTACAAGATCTGGAATGATCCCCTCTTCAATGTGCAGGACATTAACTCTGCCCTCTACCGTAAGGTCAAGCTTCTCAATCAAGTCAGGGTAAGGCATCTGGAGTTTGAAGCCATGCTTTGGGTCAATTCTCTACTGCCGAGACACATAGGACTTACATTAGTTTGAGGTCAAGGCACGTCCAAAGTTCTCACCAAATTCCATTCAGAGAGGGCTGAAATTCCTACTCTGTGTTCTTAGTCCGGAACTTCACAGAAAATCCTGAGAAGAGGAAAAGACCACTCAGCCAGCTCATGGAGAATGTGCTTTTGCTCAAAGTAAACATGAGACAAATGGAAGAGGGGGAAAGAAGGACATTTCTAGACCAGCTTTACCTCACCTGGTGTCCTTCAGATGTGTTCAAATTGCAGCTCACAGGTTGATGCAAGTTTATGCAGGTCATAGTTAGACTGACTGTACACTACCACACCTTAAATTGTCTGATGTTCTTCAGAATCACTTCTTACATTAAACACGCCTATAGATTTTTCTTTCCTATGCAACCATGCATTTTACTGGTTATGGGAATGCTGGGACTTGGGAACCACTCACCTGATTCTTCTAAAATGAGCAGTGTGTGTAAAACTACTTTCTCTCCTGAATTCATGCCTTCTTGGTCTCTTCCAGCTTTTGAGAATCCAGCTGTACCACATGAAGAACATGTTCAAGACGTGTCGCCTAGCTAAAGGGTAAGGATTCCAGAAGTCTGTTTTGGAGAGCCCATCATCATTGTAAAACGAGAGCAGGCTAGAAGCAGTGAGTTGGTGTCAGAGCAGATAGCACAGTGAAGATGTTGACTGAGTGCAAGGCAGCTGTGAGAAAAGGCAAATTTCGTGCTCAGGAACTTTAAGAAAAGGGCTAAAAATAGAACTGCCAACATTGTAATGTCCTTATGCAAATGTATCATCCATCTACAATATATCTAGATGATACTATCTGCCATATCTGTCTATAGTTTTAGTTGCAACATTTGAAAAGGATATCATTGGAGGCAAACCAGGTTAGTCTCTAGTAGTCAAAAATCGGGAGTTTGGTAGGACTTTTCATCTTATCCAATTTCATTCAGAGGCATAACGTTTTCATAAGTTGCTACTCACATAAGCTTATACCTTTGAATAAAATTTGCTAGTCAAGAAAGGTCTTATTAGACTCCCCCTGATTTGAAAGGGTATAGCAGAACTGGAAAAAGGGTAGCCAAAATTATCAGGGAGCTCAAATATCTTCCCTAAAAGAAGAGGCTAGAATGGGGGATCCTTTTGTTTGGGGGGGAAAAAAAACAGCCATGGGGACATGGTTGAGATTTAGAAGACCATGCATGGCCAGGAAAGCAGAGAGGGAGAAGCTTTTCTCTCCTTTGTGAACATGAGGGCCAGGGATAAGCCAATGGAAGGAGATTTCAGAAGAACCAAAGTATTTCTCTAGTTGAGTTCATTTCCACAAGATGTGGTGGGATTGGATAGTCAGGGAAGGCAGATATATCAAGCCTTCTTTATTGCCCCTGGAATGGAGCAGCCTGCCTCCAAAAACCCCAGTTGCAGGGGTACAACAGTGAGAAAGGGGTTTGTGAGCACCCCAGAGGCACCTGGATGGCCATCCTGAGAAGTAAAATGCTGGACTAAGATGACTTTTCATCCGATCCACTAGAGCTAGATCCACTAGATCTTAAAGCATTCTTCTTCCAAATGTCAGCACCCTTCAAGGTGCTCAGGATACCTTCCTGGTGTTTTAAGGTACTGGTCCCATGAGCCCAGGCCAGAAAGACCATCAGTCAAGGATGGTGAGATATGTAATGTAAAGTATCCAGAGGGTACCACGTTGCCAGCTCTGCTCTGAGGCATGTGCTTGCAGCTAGATAGAGCATGGACTTTTGGTTTTCAGATATCTCCCTCCTTCTCAGAGGAGCACAAACCACATTCTAGGCGGTTCCTGAGCTTTGATCTAAGGGAGCATGAAAAATCCTGCATACATCCTGTATGAAGATGACTCAGAACCTATTTTTGCTAAGCCTGCACAGGCTGGAAAATCCCAGATTCCAGGCAGCACCCCTAGAGAGTCTCCTTGCCCCAACTGTCATCTTGCATGTGAAGATCTAAGTATAAGAGATTTGGTTCCAGTTCTCTCCATGAGAGCCAGTTTGGCCTGGTGATTAAGGCACTGGACTAGAACTAGGGAAAACCTGAGTCCTAGTTCTGCCTTAAGCACAGAAACCAGCCGGGCAACTTTAGGCCAGTCCCTCTCTCTCAGCCATAGGAAGAAGACAAGAGCAAACCACTTCCAAAAACGTTGCCTAGAAAACCGCACAGATCTGTCCATGTAGGCAGCAGGAGTCAATACTGATTCAAAGACACCAAAAAACCTCCAAACCTGAGAAATGTCAAGTGTACAATAACCTTTGTGTGGCTTTGAACAACTGACTTGTATCTTATTGATGCAACCCAGACAGAACAGAGATGCCTCTGAATTCCTAAGACAAAACCTAGAAATGCTTGCAACATGTTTCCCAGAGGGACTTGAGAAAGGCAGTTGTTAGGGAAAAGGAGCAGAAGAGCAGAGAGAGCATGGGTGTAGACCAGTGTTTCTCCACCTTGGCAGCTTGAATCCACACATCTTCAAGCTGCCAAGGTTGAGAAACACCGGTGTACACTAAGCTGCTGCATTTGCAGGAACATTGGCTGCAGGATTGTTGTCCTGTTGCTGAACACATGGCTGCTATTCCCCCACAGGCTTCTGGATGCATTTGATGCAGTGCCGGGTCACCTGACAGAGGACCTTCACCTCTATTCCTTAAATGACCTAAGCGCCACCAAGAAGGGAGAGCTTGTTCCCCGCTTGACGGAGCTCCTCCGGGTGGGAGAACTACATGTTGAGAGATGCATGGTAAGTGCTCAGACCCGATTCCTTTCTTCCCTCTTCCATTTCTATTGCCTCTCTGTTTCCCCACTGAGTTGGATGTAGCCCTTCCTAGTGCTTGAGAAGTTTGGGGTCTACTTAAGCTGAAGTACGGTGAACAGTGGATAAACTGCAGGTGGGTCGTGATTAGCATGAGTTCAAATAGTGCGAAATTCGATTTAGTGCGATTTATAAATTGATATCAGGTTGCATTTAATGCGAACCAAAATTCGGTTAGTGCAAGGCTAGTGCACGTGGGGTTGAGACTAGTGCATGTGGTTGCCCTTCGAGTTTTAAGCGGTAATTGTTTGTGCAAAATGGAGGAAAGGAAGATTCCATTCAAAGACAGCTCAAAAAAGAAGAGGCTCGCTTTGAAGAACTACAGCAGCATCCAGAAGATAGCAGTATGCTTTGGATATGGGTTTACCCTCTTTTACTGTTGTACAGTATTTCATTAATAAACATGCAAAAATTAATGTAAAAAATTTAATGGCCTATTTCTGTCAAGCTGGAACCAATTACCCAAGTTCCATAGAAACATCACTTTGAATAGTGCAAATTTGAATAATGTGATCATTTAGTGGGGTTCATTAACCACACTAATTGAGTCCTTCCTGTATAGAGCTCTTGCACTTTGGTTAAGAGATTCCTGTGCACGTGCCTTTCTGGCCGGAATGGAATATCTAAAAGACAGAAGAGCAATTTGGCTGGTGCGTGTGATTCAGGAACCCCATTCAGGTACGATACAGATATAAACTGTCTTTCCCATAGCCTGGTTCCTTCCAGATACGTTGGCTGAGCTTCTAGAAAAGCAATGCCAGCTTTCTAAATGGCTCTGATTTCTGCTGCTGTTCCATGCTGATTGTCTGAGCTGAATCCCAGTGTGGCTGAAGGGCAACTGGTCTGGAAGGAGGGGAGATGGTATTGCAGGCCAGGGCCTCTCTTCCTCTTTGGAAACGGAACTGCAAAGGAAGTGAGAGATGATCTTGGGGAAGGTAGGAAAAATCCGTTAAGGAGAGGCTTGCAGAAAAGTTGAGAAAGAGGAAAGCATAAGAAAGAATCCCAAAAGGACCCTGCCTCAGTTTTGTTTAGTATACAGGGGGGCAGAGACAAACTCAGACCGGCTTTTGAAGATTCTGTTGCTGTACCATAATACTCCTGGAATCTCTCAGAGGGCTGACCAAAACCTGAGGGGGATTGTTGCATTAGTCCCCCTTTTTTCTCCCCCAGCTGTGCCAAGCGAAGGGCTTCATCTGTGAATTCTGCCAGAATGAGGACGACATCCTCTTTCCCTTTCAGCTGAATAAATGCAGGACGTGTGAAGGTAAGCCATCAAATGGGAGAGCTAAACCCGTATATCCTTAAGGGGAACTTAGCCAGCCTTCATTTGTGGCCTAAGAAAGACCAAACCTCCACATATTCCAGTATTGTTTCCCACTGCGTCCAATCACAAACATCCACAGCCCTCTGGTGGGTGTCTTCAGTGCAGTTCTCCAACTTTCGGTGCTGTACCGTTTCTGAATATGTCAGTGCCAGCTGGCTCTCTTCTCTGCAGATATAATTTCTGGCAATTTGTTCATGGTTGCCAGAAGACTCTCCCCAAAAGCCCAACAGCAGGAAATCTACTCTGCTCTGAACTGTCATGGCTTTTCCCATAAACTATTTTTTTCCCAAAATGTTTCAGGAGAGAACTCAACTCTTTCCCATCTCGAGAGCAACCCCTCTTAGAATTCCCTGGGGAAGAGCAAAAAACGGTGAAGCTGCTTCAGTCCATATTATTGCTTGTAGACTTTGGTGGCTTGTTAAAGCCCGTCCAGACTCAGCGAGACAGTTGGCTTCCCCTCCAGGCTGCCAGGCCCAGGTCATGAGGGGCTGGTGTCTGGGATGGCACCGTTCCATTGCAGGAGTTTTTGTGGCGTTTCAAACACCCGCTCCTTTGAGCAGGGTTTTTCAGACGGGGTTCCGTAGTTCCGTGAGGACTCAAATGGCTTCCGTGGGGCTGAAGAGAAAACATCCTCTTGTAAGGGACTAAAGTTTAGTTCCTTGTGGTTTTTCCCCCTTTATACCCTAAGCAGAAAAGGTGGGGCTTATCAGCTGACCTTCAGAAGCCCCACCCCTCTTGATCAGGGATTTTGAGAACCTCTGCTCTAGACCACGGGCAGTCTTTGGCTGGCTATAAAGAGCCATTAGTTCTTGGGAACAAGCAGCATTGCATCATGGCAGGAGTTAGAGTGAAAAGTCGATGGAACCCTATCAGCCCATTTCCCTCTTTTTCTGGCATCCCACCTAAAATTAGGCTGATCTGCAATTACCCCCCACCCCACCCCTATTCCCAGCACGCTCTGATCTTCCTAACTGGGTCTGGCACCTAGTTCCCTTAGGAAACTCTGATCCTGGGAGACAGAGGCAGGCCATGCTGTCTCTTGGAAACGTGACCCCTGCCTTTTCTCCTCCTCCCCTGCAGAGTGCAGAGCTTGCTATCATAAGGGCTGCTTCCGGTCAGGGCCCTGCCCCAAATGCGCACGACTGCAAGCGCGGCGGGAGCTTCTGGCAAAGCAGAGCATGGAAGCAGACCTCTCAGACTACGAGCAGGAGGAGGGCGTGGTGGGAGCAGCCACGTGACGGTCGAGGAGCTGCAGATTGGCGTGTGGCCTCTGTATCCCAAGACTGAACTGAGGATGAAGCCGGACAGACTCTCCCGCTGCTCGGAAGCCAAAGCAACGGAGGATCTTCACGACTTGGCGCTGGGAAGCGAACTTTCTTTTCTTCCTGGATGTGAGCACCGGAGAATTGGCTTTTGTTACCAACTTGAATGCACTATAAAAAGGGATTTTCCTTTCTACCAGAAAGGCAGAGCAGAGGGCTTGGCGTGTGCCCAGACTTGACAGCAGGACTTCGCTCCGTCCCATATGGGGGAAGCTGATGATGGGCTTTCTGGAGACTGAGCTTCCTGACAGGATCCGGCCACACTCGTGAAAGGGAAAATTAACCCTCTTGCGTGGTTTTACTTGCTGTATTGGTTGCTGTGTGCCAGATGAGGCCATTTTTATTTAATTTTTCTTTGGACAACCCTCTGCCTCAAATTCTCTATCCTTCCTTGCTAAACGTCACTCCCCTAGCTCCCATTTTGTGTGATTTGGCAGGAGAGCCAGGAAGGAAGACAAGTATTAGGCTTCTCCTTTTCAATCTTGGGAGATTGTTGGCAGAGAAACTGAGTTGATAGCCAGAATGGCAAACCTGGATTCTTGGGTAGGGGGGGGGCTGAAGGGACTAGAGGCATTTCCCAACTCTTTAAAAGGATCTGTGTGTGAGAACACACCACACCCCCTCTTTCTTCTCCCTGTTTGAATGGTCTTTCTAATAAGAGTAACAAGGTTTGCTAACTTGTAGAATGGACGATGCTCCAGTGGGATGCACAAAGCCAGAGGAAAATTAGTGTTTTTCCTAACAGGAAGATACCTTGGCAATAGCCTGACTCCTCCAGCTGTTTCAGGCTGCAGCTTCTATCCTCAGCCATCATGGCCATTTGAGGAGGGGCGTTGTAGCCCCACACAGCTGGAGCAAGGGGGCAGGCTCAGAGGTCTGCTCTAAGAGGCTCCTTGCAGCAGAGAGGGATGGGGTTCCAGGTGCCTGGCAGAGGCGTCTTTGGTCCCAGTGCTGCTCTGCCCTCCCTCCCATTTGTTGTTTGAAATATTTGGCCCAAGGCCCTGGTAGGTTGAGAAGTGAGATGGGAGGGTGCCTTCCGTTGTTTGGAGGCCTCTGGCTGGCCATGTTGGGACTTCTGGCAGGTTGCACAGCCATTCCTAAGTGATCCCCCTGGGGACTCTGGCAGGGCTGAGAAACCATAGTTATAATCTCACTCAGGAGCAGAATTTTAGGAAGGCTGGAGATTCCTAAGGCAAATCTGTGGAGATGTTCTGCCCCGATTTACAAGCGTTCTGCAAGGGGTACAGTTTCATTTGAATTTAAGGGAGCTCATCCGTCCTCGTTTCGGCTCTGACCTAAACTGCAGAATGGTTTGCTGTTTGGGGGCCTCTGATTCCGTTGTTTGGGCAGTGTTTCCCTTTCCCTTAAACCAGTGTTCTTCAAACTTGGCAACTTTAAGGGCTGTGGAACTCCCAGAATTCCCCAGCCAGCCTGTGGAAGTCCACACATCTTAAAGTTGCCGAGTTTGAAAAGCACTGCCTTAAACCATTAAGACATTTAATCCGTGATGCTTTTCATCTTACAGTAAGGTTCTTTGATCATTGTCAGAAAGGTGCACTAACCATTTCTGCCTTGACACTGATTCAAGCAGTTTTCCTAGAGCAAAGCTTCCATGCACCACAGCCACCATCTCTGTGGCTAGGGATGGTGGAGGTCAGTTCAAAGCATCTGAATGTTCAAAGCTTTCTCTATAGATTCCAGTAGCTCTCCTCCCCCCGCACCATCTTCACAATCTTTCCTCCAGATCAGAGCAATAGTCCAACAGACTTGCTCAGTTTCTCCAACAGTGTGAGCTGCTCTTCTGCTGCTCTCTCTGCTGCTCTGTGTGCTCTATGTTGTAACATGCTTGAGACCAAGCATAACCCGTGACTCGCTGAGCTACCAAAAGCCCTGTGAGCAGGAAAATACAGGGACAAAACATACCAGGCCTGACCCACATTTGGGCTAGTGTGACTTTTCGGTGTGCAAAATTTGATCTTTCTGCAAGCATCCCATTTTGCTCCTCCTTGCTCTGGCCTCAAACCCACGGTTGGAAAGCGAGTCACAGGTTTGACTGCGTGTGTAACTTCATAACTTGGTTGCCTCCTGCCATTCCTCATGGAAAGTCAACTACTTCCTTATCGATGGCAGCCAAGTATCTTGGAGTAGATGATGGGTCTGAATTTCCAGTGCAGGGAAAGAAAATCAGTATATCAGAAGACGGAGGGCAGTCCTCTACCCTGGAAAATCTCTGGTGGGACATAATGTCCCTTTTTGCCCACGCTGGAGCTCTCCTAGAACTTCCTAGAATAGTGTTCTGGGTTGGAAACCCCCCCTTTCTTCCCACCTCAAAAGTGCTCATTTGGATTCCTGCTGAAAGCTGCAGCTGTCCCTCACAATATGTTTGAACCTCAGATGTCTGCATCACCCTGCTGTCTGTTGCAAAGGAATCGCTGGTTTTTTGAATGTGCAAAAGGGTTGGCGTGGTGTTGTCTAAAGGTGGAAATACATTCTCCTAAGCTTGTAATCAGGGCTAGCAGAAGGTGGAATTCTTGGCATAGTTAAGTGTTATCAAACTAGCATTTCCTCAAAGCAACATTTTTTACTTTACTTTTTAACTGTACAGGATGTGTTAGGAGTAGGGTGAAAGCCAGTTAGAAGAGACCTGGAAGTGAAGGTTATGAATTTTTTAAAATTATGACACTGATGGACCCAGCTCTAATGGAACATCCTGCCTCTTATAAGGCGTTGCTTGAGTGAAGACCATTTTCCCTACCCCAGGATCACGACCTTTATGGCTGCTTTCTTCTGAGGCTTAAGGACCACAAGCTCCTGCTGGATCCAAATCAGTGTTTCTCAACCTTGGCAACTTGAAGATGTGTGGACTTCAATTCCCAGAATTCCCCCACC